CGTATATTGGGAATGGTATTGCGCGACACTATTACGTATGTTTCATCGACGAATTATTGTAACGTCTTAATGCTGTTGCCTGCAATAATGATATTAAAACATATTATGTATAATGTATACGTTCGATCCGAAATTCCGAATTAATGTCAAGTCTAGTCTGTTTATCAATAACGTTGATTGCGTTCGGTATTAATCTGTCCCGTTTTATTCTCCATTAATTGCATTTCCGCTTCAATATATAGGTAGGTAGGTATGCCCTATACACGAATAATATTGTTGAGGATTAATTTTTAATAATAAAAAATGTTATGGTAACATTTTGACATCCATTAAGCTCTCATTGGGGTATAAAAATGGTAAAATATAATAAAAGTAATAATAATACAGTGCATTTACCTATACATTTATCATTTAAAATTTTTTTTATTAAAAACCCTTTAGACTTTAGAGTTTTAAAATTCACATGAAATTGAAATAATGTTTTTGAAAAACATATTTATAAATATGATGTGGTATATTATATTACTATACTTGCTGCAGTATAATCATAAAGAGAATTATATTTTCGTGTTTAATTTCAATTGTTTTTATTTTTCCGTTATTATAGTAGATACACTACACATTATAATAATCATTTAAATACCAATAAATAATAACAATTTTTGAACTGGACACTTTAGACACCTAAAAAATAACAACATACAAAACATTTCATATTCGTGTATTTGAAATGAAGTGCTTTTGATAATTTATTATTTTAACAGTTGTTTAATTATTTTCGTAAAATATAAATAATAAGCAGCTATAGTGAGTACTAAATACTAATGAGTGATTTGCATTTCTGTTGTTCAAAAGCAATATTAGGTTCATATAATTTAGTTGAATGATAAACCGAACAATCGGATAATACTATATGTCTATATAGCCATTTGCCATTATAAAAATATATCTAAAAGAAAGCAAAACTGTTACGATTATGAATATATTATTATTGTTCGGTGCCGACGCTGGAGGCAACAATATTTATTTTTAATCACGGGCTTGCCGATAAGGCATCGAAGCTTCTGGAAAGAGCCCACCCCCCGCCGTCGTACAATGCGAAACCGGCTTCCCGTCCGGCCACCGCAAGCTGGGCGTCCACTAAGTATGAGGGGTCGGTGCGGCGCGGCGCAACCATAATAAAATGCCTGTAAACTAACATAGATCCGTCCACAAGAAGGTCGGCTCTCTGGAGCTCCTGCGACTTTTCGAGGTCGGCGTCGCGTCGAGCCGCGCTGGCTTCTCGATCTAATGGACGCCCAGCTAAGGCCTACCCTTACCCTAACCCTAACTTTTGATCCACTGTAGTAGTTGTTGTCGAACTCGTGTGACACACCGACAGGAGCTCCATCGTTTCCGTCGTCGTCAGTCATTACGCGTCGGAATACGGACGGTACGCCATCGGTGGCGTAGTACGTGATCTGTGGTGTCATAATGGTTATTGAATGCACGCTGGTGCATCAACAAAATTATAATGTACACGCGCGGGCGTGAAGAAGTCGCACGCGGGTGCATCGATACAGTTATAATGCACGCGGGTGCATCAACAAATTATAATATTCACGCGCGGGTGTGAATAGATCGACGCGCGTACGATCCACGTGACCCTGTCGACGTTTCGACAGTCGGATCGTTACGTATCGGGTCCGTGAGTGGTCAACAATCGCCATATTTCGGACATTCAGTACGGTCGTGATATGCCTGGCATGGTGTGGCGATGAGCAGTCGGCGGCAACCGGTAACGCGGTCTCTGTGATACGCGCCTTTATCAATATATTTACTATCATACTTAGATCATATACACTGGATAGTGGATAGAGTTATGGTTTAAAATCTTGAAGCATAGCTGTTCCGCCTGTTGGTGCCCGAAGTCATCACTGCGCATGAGCAAAGTATATATGATCTAATAAGCTATCATATCGTGGTTTTTCATATGATATCATATCAATATCGACATTTATATTATTATTATTATTATTATTATTATTATTGGCGAAGATAATAAGGTAATAAGGTAATAAGATACCTGGCGAATGTAAGCGGCTTACATCGCATGAATTTATTGTTTCTATTTATCATTCATTTATATAGTAGGTGGGTGCCTACAACTCCCTATTGATATGTACGATAATGTTTATTAAGATAAACGTGTTTTGTGGTGTAACATTTGAGTTTAATACAGTCCACTATTAATATTAAAAAACTAGCTGAAGTTGTTGATTTTATTTTAAGAATATTAATAACCAATGTACCTGGTTGAATCATTATATTATTGTTACATTACACAAGACAATTATAATGAACGGTCTTAAAAATATTTCTTACTATTTTATATTCATCTAAATACTCTTAGACGACTGAAGAGTAACAAACTCCATGTTTCCTCAATTATACTATCATATAATCTTATATTTTGTTACTTTTGTATAGTCTAAAAGAAATCTAAAAAAAATAATATTTATGTATATATTATATTATAAGCAATATTATATTACCTATAGTATAATTAATATTTGATAGCTTTCAATCACAAAACTTATTTCATTAAAAAATTAAGTGGTAATTACTAATTACTAAAACTTATTGTCAGCTTAATTAATTTAATACTACAAATATGAAATAGCTTGGTACTGAATAATGTTATGTATTTCGTACAACAAACTTCCGTTGAATTAAAAACATAATTAACAAGTTCCAAATCAATTAATTTTCATATAACTCCACTCTAAAATAATTTAAAATGTAATTAAGTAATGAAACATTAATTTATTGCAATCAGATTTAAAAAGTCGTTTGATAGTAGTGTCATTTCATTAAAAATGTAAAAAAAGTTACTGCAGACGTAAGTAAATAACTAATATTTATTTTATTATTTATTTATTTTGAATTAATTTGTCATGAGTAAAACAAATTTAAGTTTGATCACTCATCCCGAATCACATATCTCGGTGCCGAACTACAGTGGTACCTACATGGCTATATTGTTATAACAAGTATTATGGTCGAAAACAACGATAACAATTCTAAGGACTTGCTCTGATATTTGAGCAATTTCATTAACTTTTTCTTTGTTACACTCGCAGAAACTATGGGGAAGAAAATAATCGAAAAATAGCTCATTCGAAGTACTATGTAGCTTCTAATAATAACCAATCTTTATAAAAGCGCTACGTGAAACTTTTTGAGTACTTTTTAAATACCTCTAGTCATACAAGTATCTATTAACAGGAAAATGTGGAATAAGCATTTTGAAATAATGTTATAAAACTAATACTCCATTTTTTGCTTGTATTATTATATTATAAATAATATATTCTAAGCCAATGGATGAAACAATTCCAAATTTTTCGGTTAAATAACAATATTAAACGACGAGTAAGATGAAGCAGTTTTATAATGATATTATAATGTTATCATAGTGTAGTTGTTTGATCGCATACTTGTTTCCAAAAATACGTAAGAGGTTCACACCATCAACAAAAGCCATCGCGGAAGGTGTATATATAAAAATTATAACTACCATTATTAAAATGATTCAAGAGTGATATTATACTTCAATTTATTTAAATTCGTCTACCAATAATTAAATCAAAACCATACCTGTCTACTTACGTAGGTGAATTCATTTGGGTGGGGGGAGGGAAGAAAACAAAAAAAAAATATAAATAAAAATAAATTAAAAAAAAAAAAATACATACAAAAAAATAAATAATAATTATAATGGATATTTACTTTAATTATGACACGGATGTATTAATGAATGTATAAACTATAAATATTGTTACGTTGTCCAAAAATTATGTATTTTTAGTAAATACAAACGACTTAACGCCAATGTAAATATTAAAATGTTCTTTGGATGCATACCTAATTATTGTTGTTCCGGATTCTCGTGATAACTTAACATGCGTTAAATAGATCGTGCGACAAGTACAACAATATGAAATCATTACCAATGAAAGTTTAGCTATCATAAAGATCTTTTACTACCTTATTTTTGTTATAGACAAAAACTTACTGTGACAACTTACTGACAACAACATTACGAGCGGGGTAACAACATCTCGCAGTGATGTAGGTTGCTTTGACGAAAAAATACAGTGATGTAGCCTGTCTTGACGACAAAATACAATATCTATATATCTTGTCCTACTACTCCCCCTATGCCATGCGTACGAGTAATCGAGTAATCAAAAAGCGCCCTCTGTATTGTTGCGCTTTCCATACACGCATTGCTTGTCAGTTGTCTAGTACTCTAGTGGTATGAGGTCTATGGTTTAGCATAAATATTTATAGCGACCGGCATAATAATAGATATTAATAATACATACGTCAAAGCGGTCTGTATAATTACATTTTAATTGTGTGTCACCGAAGCGGTTGTGTCCCATCATTTATATGCTGCAACGTCCGCTAAAGGCTTCCGACGGGTTGTTTTAAAACAAAAGATACATGCTCGAGATTGATTAAAATTACATTTCGTAAAACAATCGTTAGGTATTGCTAACGCGTTTGTAATGGCATAGAGACTACTCGCACTCGAAAATATGATTAAAATGTGTCTTCGTTTTCCAAATAATACATGTCAAGCAACACAATAATAATATAATATTCAAATGACACGACCCGAGTTTCATGTGTGTACCAGTACTCAGCAGGTTTGTAGTGTCCTTACTCCCCAAAACTTTTATTGCGCAACCTTCGTGTGCACAGTGAAGCTGTTGTCGAAAAAATGGCACGAACGTCTTCTTCCCCGAATCTCCCACCGCCAACTGGAATATTTTCACTTCTGTACCGATTAGGAAGATTAAACTGTCTGTACATTAACAACTACGGAACACGCAGAAGAGTTTAAACTTAGCACGCGCTTCGCGTACTTCCTGGGGTAGTCTTTAAAACGTTAGTCGAACCGAAGAATTGTATGATACGGTGTCTACAAACAATTTCAATTTATTTTCCAGGAGGAGATTTCACCGCCAAGGATATTCTGTGTGATTACAGTCTGGACGTTTGTCTGAAGAACGTGTCCGCCCTATTGGATCACACCGGACAGATCGGTATTCCGAAATCGAAGGCCGATGTGGACGTAGTTTGCAAGTAATGACGAGAAAAACAAAACTTTTATACATAATTATATATTTATATTACTATACATTTTAGTTTCATTTTGCCTGATTTATGATTGAACCCATATAACTATAATTGTTGTACTGTTTCCAAACTATATAATTCGCAATATGCGCTTAGCGCTTAACACTCGATGAACATTATCGTGATCCTTTAAATATTGTACCTTACCGTTTCAAGTTTATTATAATATTAATAATATAGTAATGAACCTACGACGTATTAATACAATTGAAATTTCATTGTTGGATATCAACGGCGTACGCAGGATATTTCAATGGTTAGGGGGGGGGGGATTGAAAATTAATTACAATTTAATTTTAATTTTTGTCCTGTTATAATTTTTGAGTTTTGGTGCGGTATTTGACTATGTTTATACAATTTCAACGATTTATCAATTTTTTTAGTAGAAGAAATGATCTATAATCATTGGGTTTTTGGAAGGTCGAAATTCACAATTCTAAGTACTTTTAAAAATAATCAAGAAAAACCAAAATAAATAAATAAAAATTTGTTAAGATTGGTTGGTAATCTTGATTAAACCGTTTTCGATTGGATTATGTTTGATTAATTTTAGTTTTTTTTTCTAAAAATGTCAACAAAAATTATTCATACAGTCAATAAGCTTAACAATGTAACACAACTCACAAGCTTCCTCAAGTTTTTATTTTAGGTACTAAAAACGTCAAAACTGTCAAAACCACAATTAATTTGTAATTAAAAATGTATAAATATTAAATTTATATAGCTAAGGCTTGAAAATGTAATACATGATCTTTCATAGAAGTAGTTCAAACTTTTAACAAAAAATTACTGATCATTTTATGTAAATTAGTATATAAAATGAATTCAACCTGCAATACCTAAGTATAAATTATTGATTATTACCTATTGGCTATAGCTAACCTGGTAAGACATATAAGAATTTGCGTCTTGCTTACTATTTGACGACCGTTAAAACTTGAAAAATTAAATTTTTTTAAAATAGTTATAATGATACGATAATGTAGGGGGGTTAGATCGTTAGATCCCCTCCCCTGCAGACGGACCGACTGTCACGAATAGTTTGCAATATTTTTGTTTAGGTTGCATAAAATACATAATGCAACTGCAGCTTAAAGATCTGGTGAATATTTTTTTCTTCTGAAGTCATTATATGACTATAACGATGTGTGTGTTGGTTTGCCCAAACTGTGCGCAATATAAAAATAAATTATTAATAATAAGCAGACTGTCAAATTATGTAAATACATATTATTAACACAAAACAAGTATAACTTGACACAATTCAAGTGAATCATATATAAACTTAGTGTGTGATTGTACAATGTACATGGTGATTCATTAAGTCTCTAACCAGTCATTGCTACTATAAGTTCTAACTTTTTTTAAAGTTATATTTTTATACATTTATTGACATTGTAAAATAACATTGATAAAAGAAAAAACATTAAGTTTTTTTACAATTTTTTTATTACTTATCATTTTTAAGTTTTTACTCTTTTTGTTAAAATTTTTGGATTTCTTCAATACATATAAATATAATTTTAAACGAATAGTTATTAGCTAATGAATATAACGAGTACCTATTTGACTACGCTCATCAAATAGTGGACAACTATTTTTCGGGGGATACAAGGAAACTTGTTCTACTTTTAACCACTCAATTTAAATTCCAATTGTAGTATCAAAATATTCAAAAAAATCTGCTTCATAATATGTAAATAAAAATATATGTTGACATTCAGAGCAGTAAAACTTTAAAAATTATCAGGATAACAATATTGTAAAACAATAATAGTTTTGTAAATATGCTGTTTTGCAATAATATAAAATCATATAAAAACAAAAAATTAATGATAATAATATATAATATCAAAATATGTGTTTACTTTAAAAATCGTTTTTTTTTAACTTCGTATAAATAATTGTCCACATAATATTATACTCGTAATCATTTATAACGATAGAAAGAGTATTATAATTTTAAATTTAATGACGGATTATAATTTATAATAGTCATACAATTCTATTATAAGTTATAATTTATTCCATTCACTAATAACGGTATTATTTATATTTATTGTGTTGATAAACCGTTTTTGTTGTGATCAATGGATTTGTAATTAAATATAACATTTTGGTAATTCTGAATTGCATGCATTTATATAATAATAAATATTATGTTTAAATAGAGGGTTCAAAATGGGAATGAAGTGCTTCGATGATTTTTCAAGTTTATGCCTATCAGTAGATGAAAAAAAAATGGTCACCGACAACGTAATTGGAGCCAAATATACATTCAAATTCTTGTGCGACGATGAAATATTTCAAAAAGGTAAATTAAATTAAGTGTATCCAATTGAATTATGATTAAATGGAAAAATACCTCTTACAACGGCTTAGGACGCTTAGGTCATTATTATTCGATTAAGTATTAAAAAAAAAATTAAAGTATTTTTTAAATAGGAAAATGAGTCTAGGGAATAGACTCAGGGATGGCGAACCTTTTTGTACCAGCGTGTCAAGTAAAAATGTTGGTTGAATTTTGTTTTCCCTGCATGTCAACTAATTCGATAACCCTTCAATTTTTTTTCAAAAACTTTAATATTATCAAACGTATACACATTCGTATGTGTCACTAAAATAGTGTGCGCGTGTCACTCTGTGACACGTGTGTCATAGGTTCACCAACTCTGGTCTAGGTAAAGAGTTAAATTATTATATTATATTTATTTAGATATTATAATATATTATGTTATTTATGAAACTATATTAACTAACTTAAATTTAAATGCTCGTAAAAAGTAACAAGTAAAATCTCCTCAATATGAAATGTAATCCATCTTTACAAATCAAATCGTATTAAAACTAAAACCTAAAAATATACATTACTGTTGGTAATCGAACCTGAGTCATTCGTAAAATACGAAATGATCTTTGAAAACTAATGGGTAATTTTAAAAATATATTTCTAAAGTATCTACCAACTGTGTCAAATTTTCAATCTATACAGAAATCGTAATTATGAAACTTTTGAAGTGCAGTGCACCTATACGAAAAAGTAATTTTAGAGAAAACAGAAAAAACATATACAGGGTGATTCGCCAAGCACGCCCAACCTCATTTTTCCTTTTTTCCTTTAATGAATTTATTCAAATTCTGATTTTTGCAATTTTTAAATATATTCAAAGGCCATATTTTTCAATTCTTGAACTTTTTTATACTACTTATAGTGTCTTGTGGTAATACAAACTTCTGTTTTTCAAATGAGAACCCCCTTCTTTTACTGTAAATTAATAAGTGGATCATTTTTTTAAAAATGTTGATGGTATCACATTAAAAATTTGAATGAGTAGTTCTTAGTCATTAAAATGTTTGTATTACTTATAATAGTCCTTAAAACTGGTTTTAAATTTTATTAAATAGACGTAAAATTGGATCTAGTATTTATTATACTTGAGCTATTTTTACAAATTATTAATATCAATAGATTAATATAAATTACTACAATTTTCAAATAAAAATAGCCCCAAAATGTTATAAATTCATAACTATGGACCTTTTTATCCTTAGAAAACAAAGTTGAATACCTATCTCAAAAATGACCAAAACTATTCGTACAAATTTTGATTTTGATATGTCAAAAATTTCAAAAAACTTATCTACTGTTTAAATTATAGTTGAACACTCATAGTGTTCTCATTTGAAAAACAAAAGTTCTTATCTCCACAGACCACCCCTTAAGTAGCACAAAAAATCTCAAGAATTTGAAAATGTAGTCCCTAAGTATATTTAAAATTTAAAAATATCAGATGTTGTATAACTGCATTATTGAAGAAAAAAGGGGGTGAGCTTGCTTGGTGAACACCCTGAATATGGTCATTATAAAATCAATATATTCCTTCATTCACTCGGATGATAGAACTATGAGTATTATTACATTTATTAAATTGTCTAGGATTCTTATACGATCTTAATAATTCACCAACAATAATAAAAATACTCTATTTTTTAATAATAATCTAAATTATAAGATTTTAAGAATTATTTTAGACGAACATAAATCTAATATCTGTACCAAAATTTTTTATTTTTTTATTTTTCATCATAGTATCAAACTGTAATTAGATGTTTTAAACGTTATTTTAAAATACGTTTTTGTTTGATAAATATAGTGTTGGCGTAACTTTAGAAGTTAGAACTGTAAACTTCATATCCTATGGGGTTGTAATAAAAGTTTTAGAAGCACGTTATTAAATTAGTTACATAGAATAGTAATTGTTTATTATAATACTTCAAAGTCCAAAGACAGTTACCGCTCGTACGAAAACGTTCAAGTTTTCCTAAAAAATATTTATTTCATTTGTACACATTTGACTAGACCCACGTTTTGACAGTGAACACGGATTCAACTTTTTTTCAAATTAATCGTCTCTATTCCTGAATATAGTAACATAATTATGCGTGTAAATCGGTGTTCGAGATAAATGTAGTTGATTTGGTCATTTAGTTTTAAAACTGTATTATATTTCAATATTCATTTAATTTTTATGAAACTTCATTAAGATCAATCTCAGTTGTTATCATTATTAATTCGATGAGTGATATTGCAGCACTATCATATAACCGTAATCAGAGGAATAGAGCACCTATCTACCAACTGTTTAAAATAGTATTTTCAGTTTTTCTTTAAAATGTTTATTTGAGATTTAACTAGCTATTTAGTTTATTTATACTTGATCACGATCGAGTACGACGAGAAACTCTATTATGAGTGAGTGGCCTGTAAGATTTAAATCCGAACTAACAATAAATGTATAGACGTATAATGTAAATATGTTTTCTAATGCTTTCCTGCGTGTTACTTGGATCGCAGAAACGCATAAAACGTTTTTCTGTCGGATTAATTTCTAGAAAATAAGGCATTACCTAATAGGGGTATAGAAGTTTCTCTGAAAACCTTCATACCCGTTTAAAATTCATACTTTTTGTTGGGACTTTCATTGTAACACAAGTCGAGTTCAAGAAACTATGTAATTTATAATGTTCACCATCTAAGGTAAAAATTTGTGAGAAGACGAGCAGCAGTAAAACTTACTAAGTTTGTCCAAATATTTATTTACAAAGTTAAATCAGTGTCGAGGACACGGTAAGCGGTTAACAACAAATTTAATAAACTTTGTTTTTAGTGAAAATATTAAAAATAATTTGAAAACTTTTTGGACGGAATACTGCAGGTATAATTATGTTTCAAGATTGTATGACACTTAAGCTATAAATTTACTTGCATAGTTTAAGTTTACATTTTGCATATACTTTTTGATTATATCGATAACGGCATTAAGTATTTAAACATAATGTAACGTAAAATATCACACTTTAATTTCAGACGATGTCATAATAAATTTAATATTACAAATCATGTGCTATGCGTATCGATGTAAATAAACGTGATTCATGTGATAACATTTAACTTAAATTCTGCGTAAAGTGGACTGGTTGAATCATTAAAATGTGAAGAATCGCTTATTTTATGAAGTAATCGGTTCAGGGACATTGTGTTTGTCTACATTTAACGAAAATAAAAAATAGTGGTTTCAATATTTTTTCAATACGATATGTAGTAGATTGTTACCTTTAAAAAAAAAAATTTAAAAAAAATGTGGGCAAATAAATTTAAGAGTTTAATTAATTTTAATTGCTCAGCGCATTGATATATACCTATGCATTGAAGTAAAGGTTTATGAGCGTTTACTTTTTAAATCAGGTCACTGTGTTTTTCCAACATGCCAGGAATTAAAAAAAAATTACATATGCCACTAAACATCGCTAATTTTAATCAGGGAATATTGTACCTATATTATTATAAAGTAAGTTCATACATTTTATAGTAAAACTAATAAAATGTAATCGACATTAAAAATGAGTGCGTGCGCATGGAAATGGCATATATTGGCACTGCCGATAGTGAAATACGTTTAAAAAGGGCCGATTTTAAATCTTAATATCATGATAATATATTCGAATTATACTATATAGAAATACTAAAATATAATAAGTTCATTTGATGTTAAACATTTTCTATTTTTGTACGAATTCATATTATATAACAGTATAATATTTATCAACATTAACCATCAAAAATCAAAGAAACTGTTTTTACATAGCACAAATTGCACACTCAACTTGTTATAGGAAATGGCCAGATAATATATGATTTAATTTTAAATCAAATTCAGTAGTCTTAAACAATCTGGGATATCTGATTTTATTTTGTGTTATATTCCCTATAATCGTCCTAGAATAAAGGATATTAATTGCAAACCTATATCGAAAAATATAAAAATTCACCACAATATGTACAAAAAAATATTTTTAATTATTTCAATATACAATATTATTCAAAACGTGGTTATTGTTATAATTGAATTATGATTAAAAATAATCTTACGTCATATTGATGTTTACACGATGAAACAGGAAATAAATATGTTTAGGAAAAAATGAATGTTATCGTTGTATAAGGTAAATAGTTATTTCACGCTTCACCTAAAAATCTGAAATTCTAATAGAATAGTGTACGGAACCTATATACTATATATATAGTTTTTATTGTGGAAAGTCATGAATAAAATAATCACATTTTTTTGAATCGTATAATAATAATAAATTATTGCCATCACCATATAGTTATGGCTTTTCATAGTATTTTTGTGGTCTTATTTTTTGGAAAGATTATTGCAGTGTTTGGTAAAACGCTGATTGAATTTCCGGATTAAAACTTAATACAGATATTACACGGTCAATGAGATACACCATAATGTATATAGAGTTTAGACGTAATTATTGTCATATTATATTTGAAATCGTATCAAAATAATAATATTATTTTTATAAAAAAAGTGTATTGAGTTGTAGATATAATCCCGACAGCGGTCTGATTGTTATTATTATCTGCCTAACTGAAAATATAATATAATATGTTATGGCATTAGAATATTTCACTTAAACCAAGTACTAATAACAATAATAAAAGTATGTGATGTCTTACACTACAAATTACATTAAATTCTTCGGTCAAGTTATTATAATATATTAAATATGTTGGAAGAAATTAGAAGAATACTTATTTGATTTTAAACAATAATAACCACTAATCAGAATAATATTCTCGTATGGTGGCGTAGGCAGGCATTTTGTATAGGGTTTTTGTAAAAAAATTTTAAATAAAATATAGGCTAAAATAAAGACGGGAATGATAGTTGTGTGATAAGAAGGTTGGTGAAGCGCTTTTAATGGGTATGTGCTAGTTCGGTGACAGTGGATAGTGGGTAT